GAGAGAGAGAGAGAGAGAGAGAGAGAGAGAGAGAGAGAGAGAGAGAGAGAGAGATTTTATCATCCCAAATAAGTCATTCCATAATCACTGTCAGGTTTTTCTTGACTGATACTAAACCTGGAGATCATACGGCCAGTGATAAGTTATTATTAGAATCAGGAAAACTGATATATGGAATGGAACCAGGTTATTTGAAGGACTATCTTTTCCCAATTATATCTGTCTCACCCATTAGAGCGGGGAGGCAGAAAATGTTATGGATGCCACTAGATCCATCTAGTGGGATCAAGAAGGGCCTTCTCCGTGGTGGCTCACTCCTGTGGAACATTATCTCTGTGGAAATAAGATGGGCTCACTCTGATACTCTTTTGAAAGGTCCAGAAGACATGGTTCTGATAATGGGCCTGGAGACACCATTAATTGCTAGGTCTGATCACTGTCACCAGAGGGTTAGGGATTTATTGTTTTTGTATTGGATTTTTTTTTGTAAGTTGCTTGGAGTCAGAGAGTGAGTTGGGCAATGGGAAGGAAAGAAGGAAAGAAGGAAGGAAGGAAGGAAGGAAGGAATTCCAGTGATTGCCAAATGTAAAACACAATGTTTATTTATAATAAAATCAAGGTTCAATTCTAGTGCCTGTTTCTCCTGCCCATGAAGTATAGCTTGCCACTTTGGGGCAGTAGGAACAATTTCTATTTATGTCTTATTACAGTACTGTAACAAACTACCTGGGTCTTAAGCAATTTGCTTCTGACCTTGCCAGAACAAGCTCTCACAATGACCTGGCTTCATTTCAAGAAGTTGCTCATTCTTCTGCTTAATACTTAAAAAGGCGCAAAAAAATTCTGCTGAACAATCTTTCTTTGTGTCAATCTAATGCTTGCACAAAGATAATTGATTCATTTAAATATTACACTAATTTTATTCATAGCAGTAGTTAAGTGAAATACAATATTTAGCCAGAAGAAAGACCTAATTTCCATAAGCCTGCATAATAAATAATATCCAGGGGAAAGAAAAACACAGCACTCTTCAAGGTCACAAACAGCTTGTAAGATGTATTTTAGAATTTGTATTATCTGGAACACACACACACACACACAGAGGCACACAATGATATTTTTGAAGAAATCTTACCAAGATTTGGATTTTAGGTCACCTTCAAAAAAGTCTGCTCATTAGATGATGATTTTATAAGGACTCAACATTATTACTCACATCATTGCTGAATTTCAGCACCATGCAAAATAAACAAAACCCAGGAATTAAATTTAGGTAGATTGGTGACTGTAGTTTCCCATCATGTTCATTTTGTGACTCAAATCAGCCCAGGGGTACTGGCCAAAGGAAGCAAGTGGACTGAGTCACGTAAGTGAGTCAGTGAACCCATTTTTATTCCATTGTATCCCCCAGGAATGTTATATGTTCCTATATACACCCTCTCCAAATCTTAATGTCAAATGCCAAAATAACTCTGCCCACCAGGAAACAATTGGAAGCAAAAAATTATGGCAGATATTTTAGGACTAGGTTTCTGATTGCATGCCTAAGAATAGGAAAAAAAATGAGAGAATGTACTGAAAGCCAAGTTAGTAAATGATTGGGGAGAAAAGGCAGATACAGGAATGCAAAGAATGTTGTACAGCCTTATAGATAACAAAATCTGTATGAATCCTATGGCTCCTCTTGAATCTTACTAAAATTAGAAGACTACTGAATTATGTAAAAAAAAAAAGTGAACTCACATATTCCTAATATAACAATCCGGGGTCAAAAATTTCAATCCTATCAGAGAAAAACATTGTATTTAATATTTATTTCCTAAAAGCATGCCAGTAGATGGTACATCTAAAAAAAGCTCATTTAACTTTGGTTATCATAGTCTTTGGATTTTAAATGGGTTGTATTCTCCCACCAAGAATAGACGCACGATTTGGTTATCCTCGATTCATAGCTCTTGGTGAAAAAGCAGATGGAGGTCATAGCCAAGAGGGACTGATGTAATTTCTTAGTTCTTATTGCATTTTATATTATTTACAATGGTTATGTCAGTTGTCTTTTGTGTACCACTTATGTGTCCTTCAAGACTGAAGCAGCATATAAATTTCATAAAGAAATAAAATAGACCCTGAAGCTAGTGTTCCTGTCATAACTTGGTATCCTCTTAAATCTTCGAAATGACATATGTCCTTACAGAGCTCCTATGATGGGGAAGCTTGACCTAAGAGAATCTCTATGGGAGTTTTGCAAGCACAACCAGCAGTGTGGATTTTTTTCAATTGGGCTAGTTGAGAATGCAGGATCCAAGTTTTACATTAAGTCCAAATCCCCTTTCTATTATAGCTCTATAGATGTGCTGGTGAATGCCTGTAAAGGACTATAGTACATCTTCCAGAATAGAAATAACATAATATCAAGCATTTCCTGACCAATGCTGAGTACAGATAGTCCTTGACTTACAACATTTTATTCAGTGACCATTCAAAGTTACAATGGCACTGAAAAAAAGTGACTTGTGACCGTTTTTTACACTTACAACCTTTGCAGCATCCCCTTGGTCACCTGATCAAAATTCAGATGCTCGGCAACTGACTCGTATTTATGACGGTTGCAGTGTCCCGGGGTCATGTGATCACCTTTTGTGACCTTCTGACAAGCAAAGTCAACGGGGAAGCCGGATCCACTTAACAACGTTTACTGACTTAACATCTGCAATGATTCACTTAAAAAGTGTTAAGTGAAAGATCATAAAATGGGACAAAACTGCCTTAACAAATGCCTCACTTAGCAACATAAATTTTGAGCACAACTGTGGTCAGAAGTTGAGGACTACCTGTACAGGCAATGTTAAATTTCTGTAGTTAAGATAAAAAGCTAAAGCTAATCATTGCCAACTATTACCTAATGTGAATGCAAATTAGTAAGGGATAACGATTTAGGAAAAGCAGCATACTGGAGCTTACAAAATAATAAAGCTGTTAAGAATAAATTCTGGCCTGGAATCAAGCCAGCTGATACTTTCATTCGCCATCTAGAAATGGCGAAGACAAGGCAGAACTACATTTGCTCAAATTTAGAGAGGGAAAGGAAGCCAAGAATGACCTCAAACAACATTCACCTTCATGGCAATTGACTGCAAGAACAAAATCAGCCAGAAAGGAAAACTTTTTATGTCAGATGAATTTGAAAGGAACAATTAATTTGGCTAGCATTAGTTGCAAACTATCATTAGTTGCAAACTATTAGTTGCAAACTATCATTTTTTAAATGATTATTATCCTAATTAATCTCTCTGGCACCCATATATTCCTTGCAAATTTTAAAAAAGAAATCCCACTAGTATCTCAGCGCTTGTTGAACTGACTTAATTTGAAATTAAAGTAGCTGCTGAATTTTAACCTAAATTGTCACATGCAGTTCTGTCACATTTCAGATATTCCTGGAAAAATATGTAATTGTTAGACAAAGGTGGTGTGTATGTATGTATGTATGTATGTGAATCTTAAGTTAAATCTATGCATATTGTTTTACTAGTACCAAATCTTCATTTACTATAAACTCTACTTGGAATATTTATATATTTAGTTAATTGGATAGAATATTAGCTTTTATCCATTTGCTGACGTTAAACTGATATTATGGGATAAGCCAGTTAAAATTCATAAAAAGTCTGTTTTTTGGATCATTTGAATTGATACTGTGATTTATTGAATGATAATGATGTTTTATTACTCCAACTGAAGAGAATATACATAGCTCAGGGTTGAACTGTGAGGCCCTTGGTGCTGCTGATGTTACCAAGCCAGGTAATGAAACATCTGCAAACAAACAACCAAGCTCAGAGAGCATCAAGGACTTTATTATATTCTATGTTATAAAGAAAATACCAGTTTTTAAAAAACTGTCAATATTTTACAATTTGTCACATATTGATTTGAATCGGTGGCATTTCTGCTGCAGAGATGCCTTATAGGTAGTTTTTGACCCACAACATGTTATTTTGAACTATATACTGATAGTCGGATAATAGGAATGAATTCTCCATATCCTCATTTCTAGGAGATTAAAAGAGCAGATTATATGTGGACTATTATAATGAAATTGTAGATAACCAGGCTGAGCCCAAGGGAGGGGTCAAGCACGTCATCAGTCTTGAGTCCCTTCACATCCTCAAGAGATACAACTCTAGCCCACCTTGAATTCCATTGGCCCTTATCTACTGCCAATTTATTTTGACCATTAGTAGTTCAGATTCTTGTAGAGAATGACTTAGCATGCAATAAACATGTATTCATTTGAACCACGTTGGCTCCTGATTTCCTTAAAGGCTTAAAGAAATATAGTCATTCTTCATTGAAATTTTGGATATTAACCAATTTCCAATTCCATTTATTTTACAGTTATTCTATTAACTTTCATTAACTTAGAAATGCCTTTAGATACTTACTAATTTGGTTGTTAGTCTTGAAAGCAATGTCCATGTGCAAAATGCAGAGAATAAATTGGAACCAGGGGCTCATCTCATTCTTGGGAAGTGGTATGTGAATGGCAAACACAATGTTATTAGCTTCTATTTGTCTGTTCACAGCTTCATCGAAATCTCTGAGTTTATTACACTGGTCAGGTCCCCAAGGTATAAACCATTTGGTCTTGTGATGATCTTTCTGCAAGTCTATGCACTTTGCAGCCATATAAGGCACAGCAGCAGTAGGGTCTGGAGCTGAAAAATAAACAAACAAAATTCATTTTAGCATTCACAAAATACACAGAAAAAAGCTAACTGGATGAATTTGACCAATTACGGTCTCTCAGCCCAGCCTAACTTACAGGACTGTTGTGGGAGAAAAACAGAATGAAGGAGCACCCTGAAAATTGCCTGGAGATCCTGAATGAAACAAGAATAAATTTGGCCAGCCACAAAATAACATCACTGAAGTATCAATTTACAAAACATGTTTCATATAAAACATTAATGTTATATGATGAGAAAAGCAAACTATTCATTGACTGAAATTTCACACTGATCTAGATTTCTTGCCCTTTCTATTTCTGTGAGTAGTATCATACACTGTACAAAGCAAAGATTTGCCTTAATTATGATTTGCTGAATAATAGCTCAATACACACAAAGTATTAAGCCCCTCCCCCCCATAGTATCTTGATTTAGTGCAAACTCAGCTCAAGAAGCTGGACTGGTAGGTTACAAAAAATGTTGACAGGCAGGTCTCTTGCTCTTAGAAGAAGCTTCTAAAAAGGCAAAAGGGAATTGTAAATATTTACCGTGTTTCCCCGAAAGAAAGACCTACCCAAAAAATAAGCCCCAGCTTGATTTGGGGTGGGTGGGTGGGTTGAATATAAGCCCTACCCCCAAAACAAGCCCTAGTTTTGGGGTGAGGCACATGCCTAAAAATCAAGCTGGGGTGGGGGTGGGGGAGTGGAGCTGCTCCACACGCCTCGTACCAGCTTACCTTACCCCTAGGATCTCCGCAGCCAGGCCTCCCACGCTCTGACACTTGTCGCACTGCGTGGCTCATCATGTCTGTGCTGCCACTCGTGGCAGGAGGCTGCACAGTGCTTTGGGCCATTGCCACTGCTCATGGCAAGAGGACACATGGTGCTTTGCGCCAGTGCCACCATTCGTGGCAGGAGGCTGCAGTGTTTCAGCCCGTTGCCACCGCTCGTGACAGGACTCTGTGCAGCGTTTCAGGCCAATGCCGCCGCTCGTAGCAGGAAGCCACATGGTGCTTCACACTGGTGCTGCCGTTCACGACAGGAAGCTACATGGCACTTTAGGCCATTCCTGTCACTTCTGGGAGGAGGCCGCACAGTGCTTTGGGATGTTGCTGCCGCTTGCAGCAGAAAGCTGCGTGATGCTTCGGGCCTTTGCCGTTGCTCATGGCAAGAGGCCACATCGTGCTTCACGATGGTGGTGCTGCTTGCGGCAGGATGCCTCAAAGCACTTTGGGCCATTGCTAAAGGCCTGATGCACCACGTGGCCTCCTGCTGCGAACAGCGGCAATGGCCCAAAGCACTGTGTAGCTTCCTGCCACATGGCCTCTGGCCGCAGGTGGCTGCTGAAGAAGTCAAGCAGAGGCACAACAGGTGTTGGGGCATTGTAGGCCTGGCTATAGCGGTGCTAAGACAAGACATCCCCTGAAAATAAGATATAGTGTCTCTTTTGGAGGCAAAAAAAATATAAGACCGGGTCTTATTTTCAGGGAAACACAGTATCATCTATAATTAGTCAGCAAACTTAGCCAGAAACTGTAAACCACTCAAAGCTTTTTTTAAAATATAAAAGCTCCATTTTCTCCCATTTATTATTCCTTTTAGTCTCCATGAAACATTCTAGTGCAATGATAATAGATTAATAAAGCAATATTTATTAAAATGTTAAATTATAATATGCATGCAAATATATTTACGAGTGTATTATCACACATATCTAATTCAACAATATGCAAGCCAAAGCATAGAGGTAACCTGCAATCCTACAATTTACAAGAAAAAGGTTAAGGAAATGATTGGTCCATTAGTGGGAGAAAGTGGCAAGAAGCTGACAAGCAACAGGAAAAAAGTAGAACTACTTTTTTGTATCTGTCTTTACACAAAGGGAAAAAAACAGTCCAACCTATCAAAAACAGTACCGTAAAATACAGATTATACCAGAGGACTGAAAGAGCTGATGTAGTTCCCATCTTCAAAACAGGAAAAAAAAATGGATCCAAGAAACTACAGACCTATCACCCTGACCCTACCTGGGAAGATTCTGGAAAAGATAATCAAGCAACGAATCAGCGAAAACCTAGAGGCAAACAAAATAATTACCAAAAGCCAACATGGGTGTGTCAAAAACAGATCATGCCAGACAAATCTTATTGCATTCTTTGACCAGGTGACAAAATTAGTGGCCCAGAAGAATGCTATGGATATAATTTACTTGGACTTCAGTAAGGCATTTGATAAAGTAGACCACAACCTACTACTTGATAAGATAGAAAAATGTTGGTTAGACAGCATCACCACCAGATGGATTCGTAGGTGGCTGACTGGCCATACTCAGCGTGTGGTCCTCAATGGAACTGCATCTACATGGAGGGAAGTGTGTAGTGGGATGTCCCAGGGCTCTGTTCTGGGCCCAGTGCTCTTCAACATCTTCATCAATGATTGGATGAGGGGATAGATGGGGAAGTCATCAGATTTGCAGATGACTCCAAGCAGAAATAGCCAACATTCCAGAAGATAGGCTTAATATGATCAGACCCAATTTTTATGGTGGTCATTAAGCAAATCATATTCTTGTTAAGCAAACCAGGCAGTCATAAGTCTGAATCCACTCTCCTGAATGAGCATTTTTTGCTGGAATATTAGTTTTAAACAATTTATAGTTGTGAAAGGTCAGCTAAACTGAAGTTTATTTCATAATGGAGAATAGGAGTGAATGAGTTAACATTTTCTTTAGGACAGGATTTGTTAAATTATAAACTGTCTCCTTCAAAATATTACAAAAACTCAGAGATCTGAAAAGCGTGTCTAGAATGTCTGGGTATTCTTTGGGAATATTGTTTTAATTATTTAGTGCCAGCTACAAGCTGCCTCTTCAGACGTTATGAGATTTGCTGGACAGCAAAATTAAAATTTATCCTATAGAATCTGTTTACATTAGAAGCAGTTATCCTTATAGTCCATATAAGGTAACTACCCATACACGAAATAAAAGCAAAACACAAAATATGTGGCATTTTGAGTATAAAATCACTTTTTTCTATGCTAACTTGAATGCTATTTTTGTTATAATCCATATTAAGGAGTATTATCCAATTGTATGCGGTCGGTTGTTTTTGAGTGAAGGGCAGTGTTTTTCTAAAAAAAAAAAAAGGTGCCAGAACTCACACACATCATACAACCCACCTTGCCTACCCTACAAGGTTCCATCCAAAAAAGGTGCCGGAACTCCGTTCTGGGCGTTCTATGAGAAAAAAAGCCCTGGTGAAGGGTATATGGAATTTGTAGCTGACCAACATATCAATGCTTTTCTTTCGTTCTGACTTATTTCACCTTGATAAAAGAAGCTAACTTAATGGACTCATGGAATGAAAATTGCATCTACCCGTATTTCCTCGAAAATAAGACCAGATCTATTTTTTTTTTGGCCTCGAAACGAGGCACCAGGTCTTATTTTCGGGGGATGTCTTTTATACTCACTCTGGCACCGACAGCCCCACCCAGCCAGTCCATTTCTTCTGTGGCCGAAGGAGCAGCTTCATTCTGTTCTCAGCTGCAGAGGTTTTGCAGAACTGAGCTATGGATTGAATCCATAGCTTGGTTCTTTGGCTGCAGTGGCCTTCCACAAAGGCCTCTGACTGCAAAATGCAGGCCTGGCTGCAGAAGATACCGGAAAAGTGGGCTGGTGAGGAGAGGCCTGGCTGCAAGGTAAATAGGTGCAGGGTGTGTGGGGCAGCTCCAATCCCCACTCCAGCTTGATTTTTAGATGTGTGCCTCGCCCCAAAACTAGGGCTTATTTTGGAGTAGGGCTTATATTAGGCCCACCCCCAAAATCAAGCTAGGGCTTATTTTGGGGGTAGGCCTTACTTTTGGGGAAATACGGTATGATGTAGTCCCAAAGATTTTAAGAAAGGCAATGGTACATCAAAGATGCACACAATATTTCCCCAGCTGTTTTAAACCCATTAATATATCTTTTTGAACTAAGGAGATTGAGGGAGCATTATCTACACAACTGCAGACTAATTTTTCAACTTTTTTCAGCATGAATACAGGCAAGCTTTTGGGATGGAGTTAGTACTGAATTGACAGCCAATGCTGCCTTAGAAACTGGGTGTCATGTGTCTGAGTAACGAAACACTTAAAAGGACTTTCAGGCATGTTTTCTCCTAAAAGCATTTATTAAGATTACAATACGTCAGCACAGCATGGTGGAATGCTTAGATCTGCTTCTCATCCGTTAGGCCTAACATTTCAACCATTTTCCACTCCCTTATTTTAGGGTCATGGTTCACATCTTCCAATCAACTTGAAAGATGTGATTTACTTCCGGTTTCTTTCTCCCGGGCTATCCTTATGCTCCTCCCCCTTTCCTGGTTGCTGGTTTAACTATATAAATACCAGACAGTTCTGCACATTGTCAAAGCAAGAATATACAGTATTTGCAGCGTTGACACTGGGGTGACTTAGACCTTTCCTTCCCACTCCCATCCAGTTTAGAAGTGGTTGGGTTCTGGTGGTGGGGGGACTTTTCCTTGAAAGAGAGTTGTTCTGCAGGGTCTTAAAAGAGGCAGAGTGATTAATCCCCTTCTTTTGAAGCCATCAGTGAATCCAACTGTAGCGGACATTTTTTGTTTAACTTCCAACCTTCTGTTTCTGGGGAAGGTTATGGAGAAGGTGGTCACATAACAGCTTCAGGCAATCCTGGACCACTTTCAATTAAGATTCAGCCCTGGGTATGGGATTAAAACCTTATTGATCACACCTATAGATCATCTCTGGCAGGGATTGAATGGAGTTAGTGCATTCATTCTTGTTTTTCTTGGCAACTTTTGATACCACCTATTATA